CCCAACCCTGGGGTCCGTGGGGAAAAAGTGGGGCTGGGAGGGTGGTTTTGGGGGGAGCGGGAGGGAGCTGCGGCCTCTGAGCAGAGCCCAGTGGTGGCCAACGTGGCCGGGGCCTGGTCCAGGGCCCCCCCAATGGCCACTGGAGGGGTGGCTGGTGCCCTTGGACACCCCCAGCTCCAGGCTGAGCGTTTGCTGCTGCCCCATGGATGGGGGGGGGGTCTCCATCCCTCTGGTTCTGCCTCTGTGTATGGTGGGTCCTTGGGCCCCCCCCCACGGCACTGGGTTGGGGGGACACAGCGAGTTCAGCTGCAGCCCGAGCTGGGGACGGGGGATATGGTTGTGGGGGGGACACAGCAAGCACCCCTGCCTTCATCGGGGGGGGTTACTTGGCCCCCTGGGAGGTTGGCACTGGGCTGGGTGAGCCCCCCTGTCCACAGGGGTGGCCACCATGGCTGGATGAGCCCCCCCATCACTGGGGATGGCCACCATGGCTGGATGAGCCCCCCTTTCCTTGGGGGTGGCCACCATGACTGGATGAATCCCCCCATCCCCGGGGGTGGCCACCATGGCTGGATGAGCCCCTCTTTCCCTGGGGGTGGCCACCATGGCTGGATGAGCCCCCCCATCCCTGGTGGTGGCCACCATGGCTGGGCGAGCCCCCCCATCCCTGGGGATGGCCACCATGGCTGGATGAGCCCCCCTTTCCTTGGGGGTGGCCACCATGACTGGATGAATCCCCCCATCCCCGGGGGTGGCCACCATGGCTGGATGAGCCCCTCTTTCCCTGGGGGTGGCCACCATGGCTGGATGAGCCCCCCCATCCCTGGTGGTGGCCACCATGGCTGGGCGAGCCCCCCCATCCCTGGGGATGGCCACCATGGCTGGATGAGCCCCCCTTTCCTTGGGGGTGGCCACCATGACTGGATGAATCCCCCCATCCCCGGGGGTGGCCACCATGGCTGGATGAGCCCCCCCATCCCTGGGGGTGGCTACCATGGCTGGATGAGCCCCCTTTTCCCTGGCCATGGCTGGATGAGCCCCCCCATCCCTGGTGGTGGCCACCATGGCTGGGCGAGCCCCCCCATCCCTGGGGATGGCCACCATGGCTGGATGAGCCCCCCTTTCCTTGGGGGTGGCCACCATGGCTGGATGAATCCCCCCATCCCCGGGGGTGGCCACCATGGCTGGATGAGCCCCTCTTTCCCTGGGGGTGCCCACCATGGCTGGATGAGCCCCCCTTTCCTTGAGGGTGGCCACCATGGCTGAATGAACATCCCCGTCCCTGGGGGTGGCCACTGCAGCTGGATGAGCCCCCCCCATCCCCAGGGGTGGCCACCATGGCTGGATGAACCCCCCTTTCCTTGGGGGTGGCCACCATGGCTGGATGAGCCCCCCCATCCCTGGGGGTGGCTACCATGGCTGGATGAGCCCCCTTTTCCCTGGGGGTGGCCACTATGATTGGATGAGCCCCCCGTCTCTGGGGATGGCCACCATGGCTGGATGAGCCCCCACATTGCCAGAGGTGGCCACCATGGCTGGATGAGCCCCCCTTTCCCTGGGGGTGGCCATCATGGCTGGATGAGCCCCCCTGTCCACAGGGGTGTCCACCATGGCTGGGCGAGCCCTGAATGAACATCCCCGTCCCTGGGGGTGGCCACTGCAGCTGGATGAGCCCCCCCCCATCCCCAGGGGTGGCCACCATGGCTGGATGAACCCCCCTTTCCTTGGGGGTGGCCACCATGGCTGGATGAGCCCCCCCATCCCTGGGGGTGGCTACCATGGCTGGATGAGCCCCCTTTTCCCTGGGGGTGGCCACTATGATTGGATGAGCCCCCCGTCTCTGGGGATGGCCACCATGGCTGGATGAGCCCCCACATTGCCAGAGGTGGCCACCATGGCTGGATGAGCCCCCCTTTCCCTGGGGGTGCCCACCATGGTTGGATGAACCCCACATCCCTGGGGGTGGCCACCATGGCTGGGTGAGCCCCCCCATCCCTGGGGGTCACCACCATTGCTGGATGAACCCCCCCATCCCTGGGGGTGGCCACCATGGCTGGATGAGCCTCCCCATCACTGGGGTGGCCACTATGATTGGATGAGCCCCCCTGTCCCTGGAGGTGGCCACTGCAACCATACAGAGGAGCAGAACCAGGGGGTCAAGGCAGCAGGATCAGGGGGGGTTCCTGGGGTGTGGGGGGGTTCCCCTGCATCCCCCACCCCACCAGCCACCCTCAGCCGCCTCATCCGTTGACGGTTGGACAAGATGATCTTTAAGGTCCCTTCCAACCTAGAAGATTGTGTGATTCTGTGTGTGCGGGGGGTGGGCTGGGGGTCCCCGTGGCCAGCGGGCCAGCGTGGCTAACGCCATCTCTCTCTCTCCACCCCCCCAGAGACTTGACTCGCTGCGACTCCGAGTCCTCCATCCCGCACCTGAGCGACCACCAGCGTGTCCCCAGCTCGGCCTCCAAGCTGTTGGCTGCTCGCCCCAACCTGCTGACCCGCTCCATCGAGGAGGTTGCCCCCGGCCACCCTGCCATGGGCGTCCCCACCCCCAACGGCGGCAGCCGCCACGCGACGGCGGAGACCACCACCACCATCACCACCACCAGCACCCTGGAGCGGCCACCCGAGAGCCCCATGGTGATGAAGAAGATGATGATGGTGGTGAATCACGGCATGGAGAAGTCCTCCAGCCTGGGGGAGATCAGCCACCCGACGGTCGGCAAGCACAGCCACTCGGATTCCTCCCGCTCCCACAGCCCCAGCTCCACCGACCCCGACACCCCCTCCCCCATCTCTGACTGCAGGCCCGGAGGCACCAAGACCACCCGCATCCCGCAGTTGGCCACCAAGAAGAGCCCGGGGGACGAGGACAGCAGTTTGCCGGGCGACGAGGTCGACCTGGGCCAGAGCAAGAAAAAGTTCCCCCTAAAGATCTTCAAGAAGCCCAAGAAGTAGAGATTCGGGGTGGGGTGGGGGGTAAGGAGGGGGGAGAAGAAGACACCCCCACCCAGGAGCGTGACCCAGGGAGGGAAAGGTGGGGGTTGTTGGGGGGGGGGGGGGGGGG